TGAGAAAGTCTGCAACCCTTGTAGAACACTTATAAACATTCAGTTGTTTCTGATCAGACCTATGTCATTTGTAGTTCCCCTGACTCCTATTTTAGTCTCCCAGCAAAGAAAACTCACTGCCAGAAATATATCAAATGTTTACCATCTAGAGTCTCTTGGTTTCAGGGACTTCCTATGGTAATTTTTAAAATGTAGGTATCTACCTTCTGCTTTATGGTTCATAATTCCAGAAGTCTGACTCTTATCTGACCTTTTAGAATGATAAATGTAATAGAATTTCTTGTGTCCCAGAGAAAATGCAGAATGGGAACTAGTGAGTTCCGAAACCTCAGCTACAGAATAATTAATGGTTTTCTCCAAATATCTGTTAAAATTTTAATGTAAGGCATGCTAGAATTTTTTTTAAGTAAAATTGTTTAGCAACAAGAATTTAGCACTTTCAAAGCAGCCACATGGTGCATTGCCCTGGACTCCCTTAAAGATTGCTTTGCGGAGGCTGTTCAACATCTGTCAGCGTTTTCTGCATAAACCATCGGCTCAGAAAAATTCTTCAGGCTGAAACTTGATATATCAGGTCTCAGCTTAGGAGTTTTTATGTGCTTTTAGAAAAATAAGTTTGGTTGTTTTCAAGTTAGTGCTATAGGAAAAAAAAATTTTAATATACCATTTCAAGACACCGTTTTACTTTATACTTAGGTAAAAGGAAAACAGATTTCTAACCAACTAAACAAACAGGAACTATCTAAACAACAGTCATGAAGCTTTCTTCACACTGTATTGGTGAAATAGGATGTCTTTATTGGAGCTATATGGCCACGTTTTTAGTAGGATGGTATATGGAACTGGGCCCAGCTTTAATGCCGGAGGTCAGAATGAGTCCACCACTTGGCAGCTGAGGATGAACAGCTTAAGTGACAAATTCCAATGCTTTAGCTTCCCAGATCACTGTATGGCCAGAGGAGACTAATACAATAAACAGCGGTTTGCCAAAAGGCATCATGATCCACTGGTGGATGTGTTTTTGCACAGCTTCGTTATACGTTATCCTGACGTCTAAAATTACTTCTCAGAGTACAGCTGTGTGTGTGACACTGGACTTCATTCCACTGGGTGATCCCGTGTAGTCCACTTACAACAGGAATGCACTTTTGAACCTAAAGCTGTCATTACAAATCTCACTGTGAGTGTAAGAATTGGTTTGCAAGGATTTTATGACGAAGGTAGAGAGATTGTATCTTCAAATTGCCATTGCATTCAATATGAAAAAAATATTATTTTGATGAATGAAGTCCTGATATTTTTAGTTGACTATTTGTAATGTGAACATTTTTCTCTTTTTATATGAATGTTCATTGGAAATGGAAAGGCCTTCAACATACCAGTCCTTTGTACCAGTTGTCTACATTGCAGAACTTCTTTGAACTAAAGAGTCCCTAAATCACTACAGCATAACCCTCGGGGAAACTAAAATCTCAAAATATATAAACAATTAAAATTATACTAAAATTGAGCCACTAAGAACCTTAGCATACTTGCTAACTTTTATCTAACATAATATTTTAACCAATAAGGGTGTGTCTTTTGAGGCTATCTGAGGTGTACCTGTGGTGTTAGAAACAGCAAGTGACTTAGCTTCAGTAGTTGCAATAGTAAGCAAAAAATTATTGCCTCCTTCCTTTAGTGATTCTGCAGCACCTTTGGAAGATATAGCTTGAAACAATCAGTACCCTGGGCCTCTGGCTTCTAGCATATCTGCTCTTGCATCACTCTGGAAGGCCCGTCTGTGCGATCTGCTCCCTGAATCTTGAGTGCCCCAGGTACCTTGGAGGACTTAAATAAATAAAAATTAAGTGTAGACCAGATAGTCTTGAAAATCCTTTCCAGTAGATACAAGCAAACACAATAGAGATCTGATCACTTCACTTCCCTAAAAATGCTCTATGTTCCCCAGTAAGCGTAGTGGAAGAGGCTCCCTGAGATGTCTCCTTTCTTTTTCATATCCCTACCTCAGACCATTTCTCTCCTACCTCCCCACCCATACACACCCTGCTGCTCCATCCTCCAAGCAGCCATTCCCCAATGCTATAGGTGTGCCACACTCTGCCCACTTTTGCACCTTTGTACATGTGGTTTCTTCCCCCTGCTAGACCAACTCATTCATTCTAGACCCGATGAACATCTTCATGCCCTTCAAAACCAAGATTACTATTAATATCTGACACGCATTTCTTTTCTGTATTCTTTGGAATATATACACTTGACTATTATTGTTTTATAATCAGATTGGTCTTCATTTTTCATGACAGTCCTAAGGTTTATGCCTGTCTTGTCCCCATCTTACTAATAATGAAATTAAGGTTTATAGATAGAAAATAGTATGGCAAATATCAAAAGCATTCAGAAAGCTAAGGGTTTTTCTTCAGAGCTTTTATTCATTTTTTTATCTAATGTTGAAAAAATTCAAAATATGTACAGAGTAGCCCCTAGCTGAACTATATCCATATGGGCCCCTGACCTGGCCTGATCCCAGATTCTTCTATTTCAACAGGATTTCTTCCCTGTAGATATGGGAAGATGCCCCAATTTTCCTGATTGATGGTGCTTATAGATTAACAAACTTAGAGCTTATAAATCTGAATTTCAATTCTAGCTCCCCAACTGATATTGTATGGCCTTAGAAAAAGTATGAAACTTTTTTGACTTTTTAGTCTCTGAAAAGGGAAATTTGTGACCTGTGTCACAAAATTGATCTAAAGTACAAAACAAATTATACAAGTAAAACACCTTGAAACCTGTATGCCTCTACATTTATACAAAGTATATATTCATATATATATGAATAGTACACAGTATTATTGTTGGCATCAAAGGAAATTTGCAGTCTACAGTATATGGAGCTCAAATAAAATTTGGCCAAAATATGGTTGTTGGGATGTAAATTGTTTTCAGTTCCAACCTCTGATTCTGTTTACTCATGGTTTACATAGTGTTTTGTAGGGATCAATAAATATTCTGAAATAGTTAATAATAGTGCTAACTCATAGTAGTACTCAATACATAAATGTGTGTGGGGTATGTGTGTTATAAGACATTTTTGTCATAGAATATCCGAAGAAAAAGAAGAGGCTAAGCACCAATCAGAGCTCTCAAGTCTTTATTATCCTGAACTATAATAAGTCCACAAAGACATATAGACTATGATTTCTTGTGGCAGTTTTTTTAGACTAGCTAATTAGACTAACATCAGCTACAGATATGATATTAAGGACAGTGTGACAAGTGCTCTTTTAAATGCCTAATTGAGTTCATAGTAAGATGAGAAATTTCTGCTTTAGGAAACAAAGAGGGAGCTTGATAGCCTATGGTGGAGCCACCGCTGTCCTTGGGACATTTGCTATCCATGTACCCAAGAGTTTGGGATATACATAGTCATATGGGGGTAGGAGAAAAGGCCTCAGACCAGAACAAACTGGAACTAAGACCCCTGCAGCAAGCTAGGACCTTCAAAGAGCTACACCTTCAGTGAAAATGGAAAATCGAGAAAAAATCCACTGGTCAGTAAAAGGAGGAAACAAGGAAATGTATTTGTCTCGGCCTATGACTCACAGAAAAAGGTAAGGTTATTTTATACCATCCTCCAATAAAAGGAGTCAGGGGACCTTGGAGAAGTTCCAGGACTGGAGCACAGAAAGTACAAGACGAGTCTGCAATATCTCATGGTGCCAGAAAGCAGGGAAGTATTAAAAAAATCATAGTGTATATGTGAAAAGGACATAAGAGGCAACTTGACACTCCCAGTGACTAAATCTGGGATAATTTAAGTAGCGAAAAAATGATAGTAATGGATTATAATCCTTAGAATAAAATAAGAATCCATACTCACATAAATGAATAATTAAATGAAGGAGAATTGAAAAAAGCTCTTCCTCACAATATAATTCCAATTATTAAATTTAGAAGAGCATGTAGAAATTTTAAAATCACTATTTGCATAACAGCATCGTAACAATTGTTCCTCTTAAGAATCGTCCATGGATGTTTAAATGAGTATTTGAAAGATTGATGAAAAACACAATATTCACAGTCTCAAAATATCACCCATAAGATACATATTAATTCTGAAGGAAAACATAGAAACTTTGCAGTGGAGAAGCCTAGAAGACACCATTTTAACCAAGTAGTCAAAGTTAACATCATTATTAAAGGAACAGATTGACATCACATGGCTCCTGATATAATGCACTGGGAAAAACACACCATTTATGTGGTTTTCTTGCAAAAAATGAACAATTTAAAATTAACAATGAGAATACATCTGCTAAACTCAAATTGAGGAACACTGTACAAAACAACTAGTCAATACCCTTCGAAGTGTTAGGGTCATGAAAGATGAAAAATGGCTGAAGTGTTGCCCCAAATTAAAGGAGGCTAAAGAGACATAACAACTAAGTCTAAAGTATGACCGAGGATTAGATCCCAGACCACAGTATTGTAACATGTCAATTTCCTGATCTTGATCATGGTTGTGTTGTTTTGTAAGATGTTAACATTTGAGGAATCTGGTGAAGAATATACAGGACTACTTTGTATTAATTTTGCAACCTTTTTTGTAAGACTGAAGTTATTTGAAGATGAAAACTTTTTTACACATCAAAGATAAGGTTATGATCGTTTCCTTTGGTCTCTTCATCTTCCTTTCACTCTCAGGCCATTTCTCAGTTACCTCCTCTCCCAGTTCCACCCAGAGTCATCAATGCGTGGCTTCAGCACAAGTGGCCAAGTGCAAGGCTGAAAGGAAGGAAACAGTTTGAGTCTGAGCACAAGGTTCCCACTATGTCGAATCCGTGCGGTAGAGGCTATGAAAATGCCATCTTTTTTTTTTTTTACCTCCCACTCCTCTCCTTCCCCTATCCTTCATACTCCACATCCCAGACTGCTTTTAATCCTATCAGGAAGGTATACAGAGAGAAAGAAAGAAAAAATAATAATAATGAATGGCTGTGTTCTTTGGCACATGAATAATAGTTTCCTTTTCAGGGCTTCAAGAATAAAAAATGAGAGGCTTTAAATCTTGCTAACTTGTGCAAGAATGTGCGTGCGTATGCGTGTGTATTTGTGTGTAAGTAAAATCGTAAACTACCACTGTGGAAAGAACAATGCTGTTTTTAAAATCTGCTTAAGCAAAAGAAATCATTATTCCTGAATAAGGCATGTTAAAGGCCAGTGGGAAAAGGAAGAGCAGGTTATTTTGTTTAGAGCTGGATGAATTAGGAAATATCCTTTTACAGCTAACGCTAAAGAGATGAGCTATTGTTGCCAAGATGTATCTATCAAATGTCTAGGCCATGTCGTCAGATGTGAGATTCGGTTTAGCCGTGTAAAATTGCGCTGTATTTTTATTTTAGCCAAATCTCTGCAAGACTGTCTGTCTGCTCCCTCCCCCACAAAGAGTGAAACAGCAACAACAGGGACAAAACCGGCCTGAAGCAGCAGAGTCTACGCTGGCAGGAGGCCTCTTGCGCTCCAGCCTGGCTTTTCAAAGGAGTCTCTCTCAGTTTGATTCATTGCTTCTCACAAGCCAGCTCCAGGCTGCTTTCCTTAAGATAAAATACGCTGTAGAAGTGAAAAGAGAATATTGCCATTGCTAATCCCTTCTTAAAAAAATAAAAAGCAGGCAAAATGTCCGTGCTCATATTGACTCCTTCCCGGGTCCCTCATCCCAATTCCAGCAACTACGGAAAGGGTGCAAGGAAGAGCCACAGACGGAGTAGTCGGGTGTGGATTCAGACCACATGACTCACTACTTGTGCTTCCTTCTGGAGCAGTCTGTTTTCTCTTAGCTGGCTTCATTCCGGTTAATCACTTGGCATGGTGAGATTTCACCAGGTTGCCCCTCTGGTAGCTCAGACATGGCGTAGGCATCACTGAATTTACATTCAAAATCAGATGGGTGTCTGGACACCCCCCAACACACACACACACACACACACACACACACACAATCAGCATCAAGTTGTGCAGTTTCCTCCATGAGTGCTGGGCGCTGCTGGCTGTTGATGTTGATTTTGGCCTGCGGCCTTACAGACCAGCCAGCCGTTGTGTACGCATGGTCTGTCTGAATTGCTTTGAGGCTAACAGTCTTCTTAGAAGTCCTCTTGCTGTGCATTATTTTGCCAGCAAGCCATTACTATTATTAGTTTTAAATTCCTCAGTCTATGTTTTCTGTACTGCAAGATAGTGAAGTGTAGAGAATCGGAGCCCTATAAATCTTCAAGATTTTTTTTGGTCCTTAATTCTATAATTTGGGATTGACATTGGAAGCCAGTGTATAATTTATAAATTTTCTAAATTTAAACCAGAATTTGGGATGAGGGTTGATTACAAAACTGTTCTTCTCATGCTGTTTTAAAAACTTAGGGTGTGTGTGCCTTTTTATTTTTTGCTCATCATATAGTCTATTCAGAAAAATTAAAAAAAAAAATTAAAAAAACATTAAGTAGCTTTTGGCAGAAGGTCAAAACCAGCATTGCAGGGAAGGTATTTAAAAGTCTTTTAAGTGTGGGCTATTTGTATAAGCAATAACTGCACATTTCTTATGACTGGAAGGACTATTTTCACAGTCTTTCATGGAAATATTTCTAGACAATTTCTGTGGCTCTTTTCCCTGAGCTCATTTATTTGCTTTTGCTTCAGAACAGAGCATTTTAATGAGCAGTTTTATGAGCCTAACCTGCGTTCTGTAAGCTCCACATGACTGGATTCCTGTTGCACATAACCTTTGCCCTATTTTCCATTAAAACACAAGACTTTTTTATAATCAACTTTATACTATGACCTTGGAGGAAAAAATGCAACAGATACTTTAGTCTACTCTTCAGCCCACTAAAATTAATATCTTTCAAAAATATTTGCTGTTTTCTTGTAGTTTTTAAAATTGCACACATTGACTTTTGATCACACATTCCTTTCTTTTGTAAGATACTTATATCCTCATCTGTTTCATGCCTTCACCTAGTTCAATATTACCATATTCCTTTGTGTAAATAACTTCTCTAGCTGTCTTTATAATCCATTGAGGCATGTACAAAGACAAGATGAACCCCAAATCATTTGGGGAATGATTTTAAAATTTTTAATTTTAATTAAAAAAATTTTAAACTGCATTTTAAAAAATTAAAATGCATAGTTTTCTGACTTTACTGGATTTTATATATAATAGTGTCGGGAAGTTCCTTCTTACGGCAAAGCTAAATCACCATTTTGACTCCTCTTTGTACTTTAATTCAAAGTAGAACAACTATTTTTCATTTTACACATTTCCTTGATATTTTTGTGTGTAATAACTTTCTTTTCTCTAATCTGAAAAATCTAAATTTTTCTTCCAGGTTCCACTTCCAGTTTTTAATCTGTTTTCTTGATGTCTGCTAAATATTCAAGCTCTTTCTTTCATTTGAACAGTGGAGCCCCAAACAGGATGCATAGACCCCAAAAGGTCCCAGCACTCAGAACAATGGAGCCATTGTAGTGTGGCACACTGGGCTCCCCTCTGGGCCATGCATTCCAGCCATGTTTGCCTTTTAAAACCATACCATGGATTTAAGGTAGTCTGCAGTTCCTTGTAACACCTAGCTCTTTTTATGCCCCACTCACTTCAGCCAATCTGTCCTCATGGTATAATTGTTTACTTTTTCTTCGCAGGACAAGGAGGGCACTCTTTAAAACAGAGCCGAGTAAGTTTAGGGCTAGCGAAAGGAAATCTACTTCACACAGCAGGTTATAAACTTGTAGAACTCATTAGTCCCAAAAGGTGGGACTGGCAGGAAATGTAAATGAATTCAAAAACCCTTTAGCCAAATTTATGAATGAGAGCCATAAATGGCTACTAAGAAAACCGGGGCCATGCCTGACTTTTACAACTGAGGTCAGAGAGCTGGTCCCAGCCCTCCCACAAGACGTCTCTCGAGATCTGCTGGGGTGGCTGACCTTGGGCCTGGCCCATGATGGGACTTCCTGAGCACCCTGCGTCCCTTCTGCACTTGTGCTCAGTCTCGCTGGGTCTCAGAAAGGACCCTCCAAGCCCCAGCTTGGATGGGAATCTTTCTTTTCAAAATAAAGACTAGAAGAAAGCCTTGTAGCTTTTCCTTTCCCGGTCAACCATCTGCCTACCACAGTGCCAATTATGACTGTCAGGGAATGGTGACGTCTGTCCAGTGGAAACTAGGTGAGATCACATTTGGATCTTAAAACACAGATACTTTCTTTTATGTCAAGTCAGACTCTTCTTTTTCCTGGGAATTGTCAGGCCTGAGACCATAAATAGCATTTTTATTTCATCCTGTACTCTATCCTCAGTAGAACCTTCAACCACTTAACCCCTTCTGCTTTCCCCAGACCTGTATCTCTTTACTGCAGGGGTTCTCGAACTGGAGCACTTAAAAAAATGCTAATGCTCCAGGTCTCATCCCAGACCAACGAAATCACAATCACTGCGGGTGGGGCCCAGGTTTCAGTACTCTTTAAAATCATCCAGGTGATTTTCCTGGCAGCCAAGTTGAGAACTTTGGCCTGACAGGTTGTATTAGGTTCTCTCCTTACCTGAGCCATCTGCCTGGCATCTCAGTGCTGTCTGTGGCATCATTCTGCAATGACCACCTCCCCGTGTTAAATGTTTATTAGTGATTACGTGACGTTCCCCACACCAGCCAACAATGCTAGGTCTTTATGCTTTCTCTCTCCTTCCAACTATGAACTTATAGAAGAAAACTTGCTGCAAAATCTGGCCTGTTGAAAATTCATGATACTAAACACTTACAGAACCTTCCCCTCATTCTACTCACCTCTTTGCTGCCTAGCCCAGCACCTGCTCCAAAAATGATCTTCCATCGTATCAGTCCTTCACTTTCCCTGTAGCAGGAAAGTCACCTGTTTGGGAGACTATTGAAGCCAACCGGAAGAATTTGCCCAATACCCTTATCTTCACCTCAGCCGAGCATTCTTCCACCATTCTCTTCTTATCCTTCCTTTAAATCTTTAAGAAGAAAAATTCCACTTCCATTTATTAATTTAGTACCAACTGTGTGTGATGCATTAAAATACAATGCAAAATACCTTTTAGAATGCAATTAATAATACATGAAAAGAATGCAAATTCTTACATGATGAGAAATATTTAATAATCTATGAGTGTATAGAAAGGAGAGATCAATTCTGATTAATCTGACCAGGGTGGGTTATCACATAGGTGGTGACATTTAGGCCACATCCTCAATAATGGAAAGATTTTAGCAGTCAGATGTTAGCCAAAAGAGCATTCAAATTCAAGGGGCTATATGGCCAAAGGCACTAGGTTGTGATGTGCATAGTTTGACCTGAGAAGAGTGAACAGCCTGGTATGGCTGGAATATGACATGGAAAGTGAATCTTTCTGAATATTTCTCCTTTACCAGTACACTAAATCTCAATTGTTTTACATCATCTCTGTGCCTCTGGTCTTTTGTCTTCTCTTTTTTTAATTTCGCATATATACATGTCTTCCCTGCCCTAAAAAAAAAAAAAAAAACGTGACCCAATCCTGATCTCTTGATGAATACCATGCCATTTCCTTCATTTCTCTGCCAAACTCACAGTATGACTTATTTTCTTTCCACATTCTCCACCTCACCCTCTTAATCTGGCTTCTGAATTTCCCCCACTCCTATGTGCACTCCCCCCCAGTCCCTGCAGAAAGGCTCCATTAAGGATTCCTACATCAGTCAGACAAAACCCTTGGCCAGTCCTCATTCTGCTTGGCCTCTTAGCAATATCTGGCACTGTTGATAACTGTATTTTTCTAAAAGCTTTTTAATTTAAAATAGCCTGGGATGGTGTGTGATTTTTTAACTCCCCCCACCTCTTTTGCACTCCCCAGTTTCCTTTTCTGGCTCTTGCTCCAGCTCCCTAACTGTAGATATCCCAAAACACTGTCCTCCTCCCTTACTTGTTTCATTCTGTTATTCATTCTTTCACTCTGAAAATATCGCACACACATGAGGCCAGGCACAAAGATAAATTGGGCCTTCTCTGCACACTTACTATTTTTATGCACGTTTTCTGTTCTTATGGCTCCAGTTCCACCTCTGTATGAAAGGTCTCTAAATCTATGTTTTCTGCTGTGACTTCTGAATGCTCATTCTGTGATTCTAGCTGCCGGCAAATATGTCCTTTGCATCTACTCAAACACAATTTACTAAAAAAAATTAATTCGTTTTCTCCATGAAAATCAATTTACCTGCCTCAGTTTATTTGCCACAATTAATGGAATCACCATGTCTATCTTCTGGGCTGGACATGTAAGCATGTTATTTTACTCTTATCTAATAAATTTCATATCTAGTCTATCACTGTTTTCTGATTATTCCTTCTTTAGAATGCCTTTGAGATCGACTCTTACCTCTCCTTTTTATAGCCACCCACTTGATCCAGACTTGTATCACCTCCCACATAGTTTCCTAACATAGAAGATAATTCATCTCTTTGCTTTCAGTGTCACCCTCCTTAAACAAATTCAGCCTGCAAACAGCTGCCGTACTAATAACCCTAAAACACTGCCTGCGCACATCCTTTCTGGTGATGTTGCAAGCCCACCACATCCCAGCTCATCTCTTTAGCCTAACTCAAGTTCTCCACAATCTGACCACTCATTTCACAATTCAACCATATCTCCTTCTACTCAACATGCTTGTCACCATGCCCTCACCAGTATTTTCCCAAACACATCAAGCCAATTTCTACCTCCATTCTTTTTGTTCTCCTCACCTGGATACCTTCTCCATGTCTGCATGCCCCAGTATAACCAGGTAAAGTCTCACCCATTTTCTTTCTGTAGCCTTGTCTGGCTCCTGAAACCTCTAGAAATCTCTCCTCTCTTGGAAAGCCAATTACCCTTTATCTTACCACTTAGCACTTAATACATGCTATCATTATGTCACATTGTTTTCTGCCTGCCTGTTAATTGGTGCCTTCCCCAAAAGACAGTAAACTTCTTTGGAGCACAAATTGTGTTATGTCCCTCCCTTTAATCTCCCAGGAAACCTAGTATATTTCTCATAATATGTTAAATGTTTACTATATAGCATAGTTTAACTGTAATAATTATCTATTCTTTAATGAATTGGTTTAGAGCAGGATAGACTCTACAAGTATTACAGAGAATTATGTTTACACTATATATAAAGGGATCATTTTCTGCTCTACAACATTAGTATCATGTCAATTTTGATATAGATACCTTTTCCTAACTTGAAAAGAGTTGGTTAAAGAGTAATCATTGAGCATCCAGATCTAAGTAACAAATTTCAAGAAATATTGGGAGTGGAAGAACACATTAAAACACATTAAATTGCAGGAGATGGAATTAGCCAAATCCAGATGGGGGAGAGGGTGGGAAATGAGCCTATTTAAAAAAAAAAAAAAAGAAACAAAAAATTACGAGACAAAAAAGGTAGAAGAGAAATCTGTATATTAAGTTAGGCCTAAGAAACATAGCTACCAATCACAGTGTATGGATATAGTTGAATTCTTATTCAAACACATGAACTTAAAAACATTTTTTCCAAAGACAATTGAGGAAGCGTAAACACTATATACATGATAGTATTAAAAATTATTAATATTTTAAATATAATAGTATTGTGGTTATGTTTTCTAAATGTTCTTATCTTTTAGGAATACATATTGAAATATTTACAGGTAAAATTATGTGATGTCTAGAGTTTGCCTTAAAATAATTGAGGAATATAAATGGAACAAGATTGGCCACGTTGTGAATTGTTGAAGTAATGAGCACCTAGAGGTTACTTTATATTCTCTATATTCTGTCTACTTTTTCATATATTTAAAATTTCTCCAATGAAAAGATTCTTAAAAGTAGTCATTGATGTTAAGCAATTTTTGTTAAATATTTTTCATGTGATAATGTTATTGTGGTTATGATTTTTGAAAAGAAACTCTTATCTTTTAGAAATACTAAAATATCAATATATGAAATAATAAAAATGCAGTCATTTTTATTGCATTTTTAAAGATTATAGTAAAATGAGAACACAAAATTTTTAAATTGTCATTAAAAATTTTCATATCCCCAGAAATATATCCACAAACCCCAAGATGAGAAATGATACTGTAGAATTTTACATAAAGCCTGCCCTGTGTTTTAACAGTTTTTACTTAAAGATTGCCCTAGCAAGCAAAACTGTGACTTGCACATCCTTAACTGAGTGCATAGAGAAGACTAAAAATAACGAATCACTGGGTGTGAGTAATCATAATCCTTAAAGATACAGGATTTGTCATGAATAGTGGCTTTAAACCCCATTTTAGTTATATTCCAGTTAATATCAGCCTCCAGTGAATATGCATAAAGACATACTAAAGCAGACCTAGATTTTAAAAAACAAAACAAAACAAAAATCAACCAAATAAACAACTAAGAAAACCCCACAGGCTTTCCCCAGTATCAGTTTAAATAGAAAATTTAGTCTTAGCCCTCTGAAAATTTTTCAACGAAACACTGATTATTAGTAAACTTATCTGATTTGAAATAAAAGAATCTTGTCTCTGTGCTTAGAAGATTCATGAGCAACCAAATGGCCAATAAGTTAATATCAGAACCCAACTGAAGGTCTAGAAATCCACAAATTAGAAAATTGTTTGTGGGTATTCATATTGGTAGCACCCATACTAAGATTGAAATGATGTGGAGAAGACTAGCATGGCCCCTGCACAAAGATGGTGCACAAATTCAAGGAGCATTCCATATTTCTCTGAATGAGAAATTTTAAAAAGATATATATTATAAAAATAATGAAACAAAAATCTTGGAAAAATTCAGCAAATGAAAAAAAAATACAATTGAAACCTTCAACAATAGACCAAACAAAACACAAAACAGAAAAACTAAAAGTGAAGTCAGGTCAAATAAAATAACCAAACAAAAAAAAAAAAAAAAAAAAAAAAAAAGAAAAAGACTACAGGATATATAGGGCACCATTGTGTGAACAAATTATTCACAGTATGAGAATTTCAGAAGGAGAAGAGATGGAAAAAGGCATAGAAAAACTATTTAATGAAATAATAGATGAAAACTTCCCCTATCTTGGGAGAAATATGGGCATTCATATCCAGGAAGCTCAAAAGTAATATATGTAATTAAAAAATGTCCTCTCTGAGGCACATTATATTCAAACTGTCAAAAGTCAGAGACAAAGATAGAATTCTAAAGATAACAGGAAAAAAGTGTCAAGTCACATATAAGGGAATTGCTATAAGACTAACAGCACATTTCTCAGCAAATACCTTGCAGGCTAGGAAGAAATGGGATGATATATTCAAAGTGCTGACAGAAAAACAAAACAAAACAAAAAAAACCCTTGTCACCTAAGAATACTATACCCAGCAAATCTGTCTTCAGAAATTAAAGAGAAGTAAAGTCTTTCTCAAACAGGCAAAACCTGAGGGAATTTATCACCACTAGACTAGCCCTACGAAAAATGCTTAAAGGAGTCCTACACCTGGAAGCAAAGGACAATAACTATACCATCATAAAAAACACATGAAAGTATAAATCTCACTGATAGAAGAGACACACAAATGAGAAAAAGAAAGGAATCAAATCTCATAATGACAGAAAATCACCAAACTATAATGATAAACAGTAAGAGAGGAAGAAAGAAACAAAGGATATATAAAACAACCAGAAAATAATTAACAAATCACAGGAGTAAGTCCTCACTTAAAGTGAGGACTCGAATATAAATGGATTAAATTCCCCAATTAAAAAATACAGACTGAAAAAAAAATACGGACTGACTGAATGAATAAAAAACAAGATCCAACTATATGCTGCCTATAGTTTCACCTACAGGTGAAACTCACTTCACCTGTAGAGACACACATAGACTGAAAGGAAAGGGATGAAAAAAAAATATTCCATGCAAACAGAAACCAAAAATGAGCAGGAATATCTATACTTATATTAGGTAAAACAGACTT